ACATTGTGTACATTGTTCTTTCTTTAAAAATTAGTTACCTATTACTTGAGAATTATTTTACATATGTGTGAAATATTTCTTTTATTTAAGAAATAGTGTTTAGAAAAAATAGCTCTTAAATGAAAATATGTATTACGAGATTTTTTAAAAAAAAACTGTGTTTATTATCAAAAATAAACGAGAAAAAAACTTTTGAACATAAAAATAACTTTTGCAGCTCTAGATGATGATTAAAATATCGTTATTTGGTCCACAAAAAACAAGGAAGCAAGTATTAATCAAGCGTCTAGTCTGTGAAAACATTGATTTTTTTTTAGTTTTTTTCACTTTTCTCTTAAGTATGATTTCTTCCATTTTGGTGCAAAAATATTGTACTAAGCTCTTCCTAATTCTCTTCTAGACAGGATACTTGGACATTTAGTGCACCCAAAATTCTTGTTCTCCAAGTAATGCCTTTTTTTTTAACAAAAAATAGTTCTATGTCATGGAAAAGAAGAAAAATAAAACTTCCCAAATTATCAAGTCCTATAATTTTTTCAATAAAATTATACTAATATTTTACTAAAAATATTAGTGACCTATGTTTTGTGTATTTTTCATATATAATTGTAAGATATTTTGAACAATTAATAGATACTTCTTAAAAAATGATTTTTTTAAATGAAAATATATATTATGCGATTAAGCCCATGTTCAACCAAAGAAAAAAAAAAACTTATGAATTAAAAAATGTTGAAGACCTAGAGAATAATTAAAATACAATTATTCGGCAGGCAAAAATATAAGCTCTATTAGAAATATTAAAATATATACGTCATAAAAACAAAATGTCTCTATTTTGGTATTTTAATCTTTCTCTCGAGCATGTCCTAGTACTCTTTAATTTATATATAATACTAGTTAACATGCTAATAATATATCAATTTAATACCCATAATATAATTAAAAAGGTAGGTTTGTGTATTAACTTCATATACTTAAAAACAGGAATAAATTCTTTTCTCACTATAAATAACCATTTTTTTACCTTTTTTTTTAAAAAAAAAATTGTTCAGAAAGCTAAAAATCTAAAAGGTAGTAGTAAAAAAAAAAAAAAAAAAAATCAAATTTTTAAAACTAAATTCTAAATACAATGTCATTAATTGCTATTAAAACGGCTTATTCAATATTTTAGTAAATAATGTTTGATCTACTATATTAAACTTCAAATAATTATTGATATTCAGAATAACAATTAAGGTGATCCCTTCACAAAAAAATTACTGAAAAAATTGATTTTTCCCATTTTTATTGGAAAGTAATTGAAACCTTCTGCTTCTAATGTAGTTTTAATCTTAACTAAATTAGAAGTATTTTATCAATTCAAACTATAATTTTTATTTACATTACTTAAAGGTAAAAGTGTTTACTTAAAAAAGTAATTTCTCAAAAGTCCAAGTTATAACACTACAGTTTTGAAAAAAATTTAACTCAACTTAAAACTTTAAAATTTTACGTTACTTTAGAACTTTAAAATTTTTTAATCAGAATTAATTTGTAGAAGAATTTATTCAAAAAAATTTACGGGAAAAATTGCCCATGAAGTTTCATTGATTAGAAGCTTTAACCATGATTTTCCACGTATTAAACCTAAAAAAAGGGGGAAAAAATAAAAAAACCCACTGCTCAAAATTTTTAAGAAGGATTTCATTAAAATAACAATAATAATGTAATAAGTGCACATAAAAAGTTGGTGATTCTACTACCAGTCAATTTTTTAAAAATGCTCCTTAAACTTAGTCTTTTTTAACATTATAATGATCGAGTAAATGCTACTTGAAGTGAACCCCTTAGGCAATATTTCAGCTTTAATTAAATATTCATCAACTAGCCTGATAAGGTTTTTAATATTAAATATTTTCCTCGAAGCTAATTCACATTGTGCGGTTGTTTTCAATTTTTGGCTCTGGGTCTTGTCAGGGCATATCGTGTCAAATATATGAATAAAAATCATTCAGTAAATTAAAATTATGATAAAATAATTTGTATAAAATATAAAAACTGTTTGCTAGCGTAAAATGCTAAAATGGAAGAATTTTATTTTAATTTTCCGTTTTAAAGTTTTCACACCAATTTTTATTTTATAACGGTGGAACACAAGAACTCCTAAATGTTTGCTTTTTGAAAGCTCACTCTGCATGCAATGAAGAATGTTTCACATATACCTTAAAAGAATTTCTCTCACACTTGCAAAACAATTTCATGTTAGCACCTCTTTTTCAATACATATGCTCACACAATTTCTTTTCAAGCAACAAATTGCATATTGCTTTGCCAATCCCTGTTCATTATCAAATATTTTCAAGAATCTAAATTCCTGCTTTCAATAAAAAATAACCACCTTCTTCAATGAAGAAAAATCCACAAAGACAATTGCGGAGAAGTACTTCAGTACACTCATCATGGACAAACTTCATTTCTTAAATACACACTAGCAAAATAATAATTTCACTAAAAGAATAAAAAACATGGGCAAATCAAAAATGGAAAAAAGATAATATCAGTGTCCGTACAGGGTACGGGTAAACCGGTTGTGGCCAGCTTTCAGTAGTTCGTACGGTGTAAGGGCAAACCGGTTGTGGCCAGCTTTCTGTAGTCCGTACGATGTACGGGCAAACCAGTTAAGGGGTTAATCTTAAAAACTAATTCGGAAGAAAGTCTTTTAATAATCTTATTATATTTATCTTATTCTATTCAGAGTTTAATAGATTTGTTACAACTTGGTAATATTGGGTTAGTTCTTTATAATTAGAAAGAATTTTTATAGCTTTAATTTGTTTTCATCATAAAAAGTTTGAAAAATAATTATAAAATTTAAAAATATTGTTCTTTCAAACTTATTTGTAAAGCTTTTATATAAAACTACTTCCGTGCATTGAAGAATATTTTTTGCTTCAGAAATAGCAAAACTAAATAAATACTTAAAGAGATAGTATGGGTTTGTGTGTATTTGCTGAAAACCAAATTCTGTTTTCTGTATATATTTCTTATAATTATATTAATTTTAGTGATTTTCTTCCAAGTAATCCTATTCTTATATTGATCATTCTAAGTCACTTATATTCTATATAAGTTTTTGTGCATAGATTATAACATTTAAAGGTAAATTCTGAACATATTTGTTACAATCCAGACTTAAAAATCAAAATATGACTGATTATTAAAATTACATGAAATATCTCCAAATTATGAAAAAAAACAGTATACGTAAAATGACTCATTTGGTAACTCTTGGATACCAGAAATTTAACAAGCTCAATAGTTTTAGTGAGCATTGAAGAATTTAGTAATATATAAGTTTAATTAAGAAGAAATATATTTTATTATAGTTATGACATAGGTAACAATACTGGAAGTTATTTAATCTTCAAAAACATTCAAAGTTGTGTAAGAATCTATCGTTAAAAAAAAATGAAAGTTATATAAGAATTTTTAATACATCTGCTATGTATATTGAGGCACAATGTAGCATTCTAAATAAAAATAAAGCAACATTTATAACTACAGTATAAGCAAAATAAAATAAGCATCAAATATATGGTGTATTTAAATACATGGCAACGGGAAAGAAAATTGCATTTTACCAACATAATTTCTCTTCCTATTATTTTTTTTCCGCATTTATGAAGATCACCATATTTTTTTTGAGATTCACTGCAAAAAATGTTTTATGAATAATTGTATTTTAAAGATTCAACTTGGTTTTATCTCTCTCTGAGAAGTAGTATTTAAAAGATATTATTTAGAACTTTTAACTCGTAACTTTTTCTTTGTGATTGATTCTCTATTTGAAATGTCGAGGAAAATTAGGAAAAGAGAAAAAATATTCGCTAATTTTTGATACAACGAATTTTTATGTAAGTGCGTATTCTTTCTAATGCTATCCAGAAGAAAAAGTGTTTCTTATAAAATATTTCCTGCATAAAACAAAATAAAAGACTCCTTATATATATATGGATATCAAATAATACTGGTAATTCAATAATAACAATTTTAGGATCAAAAAATTTTCTGCTTTATCTTTAGTTTATATCTCAACTTTTAAGATTAGTTGTTTAATTTGTGAAAACTAGTATAAGCCCTCTAGGGAATTTTTTGACCATTTTACCGTTAGAAATTGACTAAACCCTTAACAAGAAAAAAAAAATGTCTCTAAAAGTTTCGGGTTTTTAAAACTTACTGGATAATATAGTTGACTTTCAAAAAGAGTGTTGTTCCCTGTAGGGCTTGCGAATTGTAAACCGTGAACTTTTTCCTCAAATAAACTAAGTCGAGCTTGTTTATGACCATGAATTTTGGGTTAAAATGGCTTTCATGATGTTTAAGAAAAAAATTATATAGTTTAAAGAAACAAATTCCTCATATCGCTTAAAGTGAGAATAAAATTAAAAGTAAAGAAGCGTCTTTTCTTATTAAAAATTCTCTTTGCTGAGATGATTGAGAGTAAACAGGTTTTCAAAAATGCTTTTCAAGAATTAAAGAAAGAAGTTTGCTCGCTTTCCAAAGAAAATATTCAGATAAAGATTAAAATATGCATGCATTGTTTTATTGTTCCTTTAAAGAATTGTTTATTCTTGGATTAAAATTTACATGAAATGAAATCAAGTTTTATATTAATTTATTTTAACAGTTCTTAAAACAGATATTTTAAAAACAATAGCTACTATGCGACAAAATGTTTTAAACTTAAAAGAAACAAGTAAAATAATTTTTTTAAAATCAATTCCTACTTAGGAGAACAAAGAAAAATTTTAATTTAGTTTTTATTAAACAGTTACAATTAATATAAAAATTATATTCATATGACAGAATCACAATATTAAGTGACAAAACAGAAAGCGATTTTCCATTTTCCTTTCTATATATGGTGTTGGAATTTTTGTTTGTTTGTTACTATTTATTCAAAAATTAAATGTAATAATTATAGTAAAAAAGAAATCACATTCTTATAGAAATTAGGCCATTTCACATGGGATTAGAACCCACGACCTTTAGATTAGAAGCTCAACGTGCTATCCATTGCACTTCAGGGACAAAACGAACAATTTTCTTTCTATATATGCTATTGAACTATTAATTTCATTTTTTACTATTTATTCATTTTTTT